GGCCCATTTCTTCACTGGGACCTCCTGGCCCGCTCGCCCAAGCATTTCAAGCGAGCGGGTGGGCGCAGGGTCCCTGACCTCGGGTGGGTCCCTATCAGATGGAGGAGACATCTGAGGGCCTGTCCAGGATTCCACTTGGAGCCCCTGCCCGGCACCATCCCCACAATTTATTCAGCGCCACTGTTCCAGCCAGTCCGGCCCTTCTTCTGTTCCCTGACCTTCCACTTTACCAAACAGCAGGTCCTCTTCCCCGAACTGGGCTCTCCCGATATCAGGTCCAAGGTATGTGGGACCAGGGTTCGCCACCCTTCTTTTCTTAAAATCACTTTATTGGGGGCTCATACAGCTCTTAACACAATCCATCCATCCATTGTGTCAAGCACATCTGTACACTTGTTGCCATCATCATTCTCAAAACATTTGCTTTCTACTTGAGCCCTTGGTATCAGCTCCTCATTTCCCCCCTCCCTCCCTTTCTCTCCCTCCCTCACGAACCCTTGATAATTTATAAGATTTTTTTTCATGTCTTATATTGTCCGATGTCGCCCTTCACCCACTTTTCTGTGGTCCATCCCCCAGGGAGGGGGTTATATGTAGATCATTGTGATCGGTTCCCCCTTTCTTCCCCACCTTCCCCTTCCCCTCCTGGTATCACTACTCTCATTACTACCCCTGAGAGATTGATCTGTCCAGGATTCTGTGTATCAAGAGCTCCTATCTGTACCCGTGTACATGCTCTGGTCTAGCTGGCTTTTTAAGGTAGAATTGGGGTCATGATAGTGGGGGGGGGTCGGCATTAAAGAACTCGAGGAAAGTTGTGTGTTTCATCATCGGTGCTATACTGCACCCTGACTGGCTCGTAGCTTCCTGCGACACCATCCTTCATTCTAAGGGGAACATTCTGGTGGCACGTGTTCCAACAAGAGTGCTTCATTCTTCTGGCCGTCCCTGGGACTCTCAATCTTCCTCATCCACACCATCCCGTCCAAAATGGATCGATTCTCCCCTGATCTTCCTTATTCATTGTCCAACTGGTACCTGCATGGGAGATGCTTGGAAATCACGACAGGGGTCAGGTGCACCTGAGGCCTTTAAAGAGGTCGTGTGCGGCACATTTGCCCAAAGCAGTGTGTCCTGAGACTTCTTGTGTCCCCCTGCTTCCGTGAGCATTGACTACTTGTGAATTATTTGGGGTTCACCCCCCCAACCCCCGTAACTACTCAAGCCAGGAGGAGCTTCCAGCTCAACATCTAACCCCTCGGGCTTGGAGCCTGCCTGGGCTTGGACAGGACTTGCCCGATTCTACAACTGTGTCTGCCATGTTCTTGAGTTAAATCTCTCTCTCTCTCTCTCTCTCTCTCTCTCTCTCTCTCTCTCTCACACACACACACACACACACACACACACACACACACGGCCCATTAGTCCATTGGTTTTCTCCACTCTTCAGAAAGTGGGATATTCTTGTTGCTGGGGAAGCACAGAAGGTGGCCTTGCACACAGTGACGTGCTCAGCCTCCTGGCTGAGAAACAGTCACGAAACACGCTGCGAGCACAGGAAGCAGACCTTCCTCACAGCCAGGCTGTGAGGTAGGGATTACTGTGCCCACTTTGGGTCAAAAGCTGCTGTCCTCTGTGGGGAGCAGAGGTAGGAGGGCAAGGGGGAGGGGGGACCCTAGGGCCTTTTCCCTCGGGTTGTTGGAGTCTAGGGTGGGAGGCAGAGACCTGGTGGCATACTGGTTACACGTTGCAGCCCTTCAAAACCTCCAGCCACTCCGTGGGAGAAAGACAGGGCTTTCTACTCCCATAAGGAGTTGTAGTTCTCACAGGGGCAGTTCGGCCCTGTCCTACAGGGTCTCTCTGGGGCCGAAAGGCCTAGATGGCAGTGAGTGAGGGTGGGCAGCTTCCAGGAGCAGACAGGAGTGGTGAGGAATGCAAACATTCCAGACAGAAAACCTCCCTGCGAGGGCCCACCCAGAGGGCCTGGAGAGGGCGGGGTGGGCAGAGCTAAGTCTCGGGGCCGTTTCTGCCTTTCCAAAGTGTAAGATGAAAAAGATGATCCAGGGTGCAGGGAGCTGACGGGACAGCCCTGGGTGGGCAAGGGCAACTTGCTGGCCGCCAAGGTCAGAGGGTATGGCCCTGAGCTTAACGCACTCCACTCCCTGCAGACTTTATTTCATGGACCTCCAGCAGAATGGTTCATCCTCTCGGGACGGGGGCCAACGCTCAGGCTCAGAGCCCACCCTGCTGTTTACTACACAGACACAGTGGGCAAGACCCTCCCTCACCCACCTCCCAGTGCCTCAGTGTTCACATCCAAAAATGGGCACCTCCTGTCTGCCTTGGTGGGGGCTGCAAGGCCAGCGCCTCGTTCAGCGGTTCTCAACCTGTGGGTTGCAGCCCACATTTCCGATGGTCTTAGGAACCAAGACACCACTCCTCTATCCGTCCCCAGGCAGGTCCACCCACATGTACATATGCCCACATATGAGTACCCGGCATGATGACATCATCACGCCAGCCCCATCACATACACTCCGAACAAATACAGGTGTATGTGACAGGGTTGGCGCCATAATGTGCTTATGCAGACCAGTCACGCATGTGTAAAAAGCAGCTACTGTGTTGAAAGCGGCGATATCGGAGGTAAAACAACACTTCGGGGAATTATAATTACATATTGTTTTTGTGATGAATCACTATGTTTTCATGATGTTCAATTTGTCACAATGAAAATACATCCCGCATATCAGATAGTTACATGATGATTCATCACAGTAGCAAAATGACAGTGATGAAGTAGCAACGAAAATAATGTTATGGTTGGGGGTCACCACCACCTGAGGAGCTGTCTGAAAGGGTCACGGCATGAAGAAGGCTGAGAACCATTGCTCTAGTCCTTAAACCCGCTGCTGGCATGAAGAAGGCTGAGAACCATTGCTCTAGTCCTTAAACCCGCTGCTGTCGGGTCCATTCTGACTCAGGGCGCCCCCTTGTGATACAAAGCAGAACTGCGCCATCGGGTTTTCCCGGCTGTGCAAGTGGACACTACCCCGAAGGTGAGCAGTTCAAACCCATGCAGCAGGGCCTTGGAAACAAGACTTGATCCCAAAAGGCTGCAGCCTCGAAACCCCCATGGAGCAGGTCTGCTCTGCGCATGCGGGGGCTCCAGGAGTCCAATCCACTGGAGGACAATGGCCAGCAATCCCAAAGGGCTTTATGGAGCGGATCACCAGGCCTTTCTTCCCCGGCATCACTGGGTAGCTTTGAACCTCCCACCTTTAGGCTTGTAGTTCAGCACGCTGTACCACTAGGGGCCTTGTTAGGAGTTAGATGGACTCATAGCCACCCGGAAGCCCAGCCCCTCCTCGTCCTCATGGACAACGTGTGGGTGCTGTCCATACAGGGTTTTCAGCGGCTGAGTCCTCTGAAGTGGACTGCCTCCTCTTTCTCCCTAGCCTGTTCCCAGTCTGGAAGCTCTGTGGAAGCCTGTTCACTTCGGGTGACCCTGCCAGTATTGGAAATACCAGTGGCACGGCTTTCAGCATCACAGAAACACACAAGCCACCACCGTACGACAAAACTGGCAGACACATGGTGGAGCAAGGAGCCTTACCTGATCTCACCTTATTTCCCATGGCCGCTGAATCAATTTCCACTCATAATGACCCCATAGGACAGAGGCAAACTGACCCACAGGACATCCAAGTTGTCAGTCTCTACAGAAGTGGGCAGCCGCACCTTTCTCTCTCAGAGCGGTTAGGCTAGGGTCGGCAAACTGAGGCTCAGGAGCCGTACACAGAAGCATCCCTGCCCAAGGTCACCCAGCAGAAACCAACCTGAGTCCGAGAAGCTGCAGCCCCCTGGACACCAAGAGGCTGCAGACAATCGGCTGGCCAGTCTGTCTTAGGTCCTGCCCAGAGCAGGCCTTTGTTCCGGAGAGAAGAGAGGCCCCGCCCTGCCTCTGGCTCTCAATAAGGCACTTCTGGAATTCTCCCTGGGGCAGAAACCTGAGGCCAGGGGGAGAAAGCCCTGCCCTACCCATGGTCATTGCTATGGGCACAGCCATTCTGTCTGGGCTCAGTCCCCAGTCTTGATTCCTTTCCCCTGGTGGTCCATGGGTGGGGCCGAGCCGTGGCCAGTACTTCAAACGTGACCTTAACCAGGAAGGTTGTGGCACACAGGAGGAGGGAGAGACTACCTAGGCGTTGCTCCTGGCAGGGCCAGGGCTTCCCCACTGAGGTCCCTGGTATTCCTGGGGGCCCTGAAATGGTGCAGGAATTGGCAGCAGGGTGAGTGGGAACATTCTGAAGAG